GAGTGCCAGGATAGGCTCCAAAGCTATACAGAGAAACCCTGTCTCAAAAAACAAAAACAAAAAACAAAACAAAACAAAACAAAAAAACAGTTATCACTTAAAAGAAAGGTTAGCTGGTCGTTATGTATAGTTCTTCAATAAGATATTACAAATTAAGTACATTTGTTTTTAATCTCCCTTTTAACTCTCATCCCATTAATTCTAAATATTATCTATTTTGGGCCAAGTGCTATGTAGATAATTATTTGAACCAATTAATATGAGAAAATTGCGTTAGTGCCATAGATTGTAACTACAGCACTTGCCTAGCATGGGCAAAGCTTGATTCCAACACTCTTTTTCCCATCAAAAAATAATTTTAGAAAACATGAATTAGTGATTATTGTGTTTTTATGTAAATCTCATTTTCTGCTTCACATAATAATAAAGTATGAGAAAACATGACGATTTAGTGTGATAACAAATGGAATGTAAAATGTTTGTGCCAGGCTTTCTGCTAAATGCTCACCATGAATTTACTTATTTAATCCCCACTTTTGCCCTGTGAGGCCGATGGCCTTTTATACCAGCATTATGGATGGAACTAGTCAAGCATAGTTTGCTTAGAGTGCTTGACAGCAGAGGTGATCTTCTTCAGACTGGAGCCACCACCACCCTGGAGTAGGAAGGAACAGTGTCCCACAGACTGGTCCTGTTCACATACAACTGGGAAAAGTGGGGGACAGAGGGGAGAAATAAGAGCTGGACCACTTCTCTCCAAAGCTGAGCTCTTGGGAGATTGATGTACTCAGAATGAGGAGGAGCATTCAAGAAACCAGGACTTAGATTCAGCTTCTCACAAACCCCTTTTCTCTGGGTTCCAGGATCAGCAAGGTGGAGGAGTCAGCCCTGAGAGCCCTGAGACAAAACTTATTTGCTCATTCCTCAGACCTGCTTGTGGAATTTAAGAAGCATGATGCCTCTGAGAGTGGTAAGAACAAAGGAAACACAGCTAGGCAGCCTTTGCAAGGTGAGAGCTAGCAGAGTTGCTGAGGGCATGAAACACGGATCTATAACAGCTTCCACCTTCTTCAGGTTCATGTCATCTTTGTGAGTGGAGGACCGAGAGACAGAGACAGAGACACACAGAGAGGGACAAAGAGAGACAGACACACAGAGAGAGGTTTGAGTCCCCCCTCCAGTAACCTCTTGTTGGGAGCCTATCAGCCCATGTTCTATTGTCAAATCTAAACATTTCTTCTATATTCAACTTGATGGAATTGCCAACCAAATTTTGATTAATTATAGCCCTGTCAGAAATGGAAGAAACACTTAATATGCCTATATTATAGGTTCTTAAGGGTTTCAGTGAAGAGTATATTTCGAGGGAAGTACTGGGAATTGAACTCAGGACCTTGTGCATGCTAGGTAAATGCTCTGTATTAGTTACTCCAGCTCTTGCCTTTTAAAACCACACACACTTCCACATAAATACACAATAAACATATTTTTATATTATTTGCAATCTTCATGTACCCAAATTTAATAAAATATGTAATTAAGTTTTGATTATAGGTAGACAGAAAATTTTATGTCACATTTGACATATTTGCTTTGCTGCCTATCTGAAATTCAAATTGGCCATCTTGTATATCTGGCAAGCCTCATTTCCAGTCAGCTCTGCCATGACCTGCAGAAGTAGTGTTGGTGCCTAGTCTTCCTGCTACCCACCTATAGATCAAGTTGTCAGGATCAAAACATATGCACTATAGGAACTTCCTGCTGGACCAGAAACTGAGCTTGTGGTGGCAGCTCAACAGGCCAGGTCATTCCCGCAGGTGTGATCACCCTGAGTGACTGGGCGGTTGCTGTGGAGTCTGTGCTGCACCTGGGATTGCCATGGCGGATGCTACGGCCACAGCTGGTGAACAGTTCGGGGGATAATGTGCTGGAGTACAAGTCTTGGTTGGAGAGTTTGGCCAAAGAACAACTGAGCCGAGAGGTAAGGGTGTGATGGTGGTGACAGAGAGCATACTGTAGTCTAAACAATTCTGAGACAGAATTTAGGGAGCCCCTAAATGCTGAAACAGCTATTTGGGCCTCCAAAGGTAGGGTGTGGAAAACAGAAGCAATTGTTTTTTGCATTCCTGTGAGTCAGATTGTGTGTTCTGGGGTTTACATAGCTGCCTCAATTAATCCCATAAACATCCTAGAGATAGGGGTTATCCAAGCTATTAGACCTGAGAATGTATTACCCATAGAGCTTAAGACATTAGCCTGGGGTTATAGAATTTCTCAGCTGTGACTCAGGCATGGGCTGAGGGTGTACTCTGTGGGAAAGCATGTGCTTAGCCATCCCAAAAACCCTGTATCAACCTTCAGTACCAAAACAGAACAAAAGCAAACTCAAGTCTACTGACTTTAAGTCTCATTTTGTTTCCCAACACTGTCTGTGACACTTCCTATTTGTTAAAACACACGAAAAACAACAGTTACTGACAATGCCATTTAACTGAGACATTCTGTTATATGCTTTTGAAAAGACATCTTTGTTGCAACATAATTCACACATTGTGTAATTCACCCACTTGAAATAACACAATTCAATAATGTGTAGTATGCATTCATCCCTTGTTATCTGCCATGAGGATGTGCACAGGGCGGAGGAATTCTCAAATCCCTGATGTAAAACAGAACCACTGTGCACATCCTCCAGCAGACTTCAGTCTCTAGGTTACTTACAATACCTAATGTAATGCAAATGCGATGTAAAAATCTGTAGGACTGGACTGCAGAGGGAATAGTGATGGGGAAGTGTGTACATGCTCAGTATGGACACAGTTTTCATCCTTGGTTAAACCCAGGATGCTGAACCACTGGATATGAAGGGATGACTCTATTTGCAAATATGTGCAAACATCCACCACAGTCGATTTTAAAATATTTTTACTATAAATGACATTCCTATTTCACTCTAGTGAAGTGGAACAATTAAGATAGCTTTGGTCTTTTTCAAGAATATATAATTTTCAAGAATATATAATTGTAGAGTTCACTGTGAGTTAACTATACATTAGGACAAAAAAATATGGTTTTTTTTTTATTTTATTTTAGGTTTTTCGAGACTTTGAAGGCTGTCCTGGAACTAGCTCTAGGAGATCAGACTGGTCTCGAACTCAGAGATCCTCTGCCTCTGCCTCTTGAGTGCTGGGATTAAAGGCATGAGCTACCAACGCCCTGTTGGTGTTTTTATTTTTTATTTTTATTTTTTTAGTTACAATGCTGCTGGCCAATATATAGTGCTTCTTATTAGCTAGCTCTGTCTTAAGTATTAACCCATAATAATATATATGTATTTATATATGTATTTCTGTAATGTCTTTTTTTGCTGAGAACACCAGACTCATGGGTCCTCTACTCCTGGGAATCACATGGCAACTTCCTACTCCATTTTCCAGAATCCTTCTCCTAATCCCATCTATCTTGCTTGCCTATTGGCCAACAGTGTTTTATTCATTAACCAATAAGAGACATATACACAGAAGGACTTCTCCCACCATCTCTTTTCTGTCTAAATAAAAAGCTTTTAACTTTAGCATAGTCAAATTATAAAACAGTTATAAAGAACTATACTTAGAATATTTAGTCCATAAACATTTAAGACGTAAAGAAAATTTTCTATCATCTATCCTATCTTTGAGAGTCTAAAGCCTTATATGCAACTTATCTTTATCATAAGGAAAACTATAACCATGATTACCTATCTGAAACTCCAAAGAGCACAGAAGGATAATATATACACTCTAGAATTGAGACAACAGGATGGCTAGATAGTCACCCAAAGTTCCTCTAATGATGGGGTGTGCCATCCATACAACGACTAAGTCTGAGTATCAAGTGAAAGCCTGGAGATTCAGATAAAAGCAGAGACGTCTGGCCCCTTGTGCTACGTGCCTCTTTCCATCTTTATTCCTCTGCTGTTTTCCAGGGACAGAGCATCCTTATATACACTTACAGCACAGTGGGAAAACGCCAGGTGTAAGAGCTTGTGGAAGAAGAGCTCCTGTTTTCCCAGGTGTAGTGAGGTGAGCCCAGGACTGTAAGCCAGGCCTAGAACACAGGATGCACCTGTTGGCTAACAAGCAACTCACAGAGACCCTGTGGGGGCTGGGACCCACCATCTCCCCCCTTCTTTATATATAAACTGGGCCCTGTTTGAGGTGACTAGGGCGTTGACACCAACCTTACCCATCAATGGAGAAATCACCCAGGCTGCAGGACTCTGTCTTAGCTTGGTTGGCATTCCCTTGGTCTCACCAATTATTGGCTGCCTAATTTTCTGTAGGCTCAACTATAGATGAGCTGAAGGATTCTCTGCAGCCATCGAGAGACCAATTGAGCGTAGGCTTGTCTAGCACTGAGGTGCCTTAGACAAATGAAGGAAATGATAACAAGTCCTATGGCTGCAAGGCCCAGAGAGAGGGACCCAGCCTATCCTTTGACTAAATGGCCTGCCATCTGTAATCCCCTAAGGATGATCTCTCCAGAGGATGGAGGAACTTGGGTCTCATTTATCCTAATAATATGATTGGCCAATTGAGGAGTATATAATTTGTTGATTAAGATTTAAACTTCCTACTTGGACTAAGTTATTTATGGAGCTCTGAGTGCCAAGGGCCTCTGTCACTTCCCCTGCCATTTTACCCACTGAGCTGGCTGTAGTTACAGACTCAGATGGCAATCCCACATACCGTGGTTGCTATAACAGCAACAGCAATATCTGCAATCACACCAACAGCGATGGCAAAGTCTCTTTTTTGTCCATCAACTTGAGAAAATGGAACTCTGGAACAACCGTTGAGAAACTGGAACTCTAGAAGCCACTGCCTCCTGTCTTTTAGGAACTGTTGATTCGATGACATCAAGGGTCAGGAACACTGGTTTAGGGGATCTTG